TACCAAGACTCAATTGTTCTTTATGTTTGTTCTTTTGTAAAAGTGAGTATTTTCCCAAAGTATGACTATCATTACCAAAATATAGCTTTCATTATCGTTTATGTGAGAAGATCACAATGTGAATGAAATGGGAAAATAAAGATGTACTGTAGTTCTATCTAAGTAACTACCAATGTACTAACTACCTTAAACATGTTTGTTTTAATTAACGCAAAATGTGATAAGATTGTAACCATACTTGATCGACTAGTATAACACGACGTTAGAGACGTCGAAATGATATGACATTCGTCACCCGTAGACCTGCTGGTCCCACTGTAGCTAGCAGCAAGTTGTAGGATGGTCAGTCCCATATAGATCTATACAAAAATTCACGCTCTCCCTCCAGGAGACTCTGGGTACAAAACGTGACGCAGCAGTATATTGCCGAGCCATGAAGTAGTATCTCACATTAATGTTATAGTATTCTTGTATTTGTATAGTATGTTCTAGTGTAATGTATGTTCTCTCTGTCTAGTATGTAGTATGTTCTCTAGTGTATAGTGTGTAGTATGTATTGTTTCTCGTTATAGTATGCTCTATCTGTTTCTCTTTATAGTGAGTATTATCTCTCGTTATAGCATGTACTGACTCTTGTATGTTTCATTGTTCTAGTAATAGTATTAGTGACTTCCTAAACTATACCTATTATAGTTTACTAGTAATGTTGTTTGTATGAATGAACATGTTTGTACACCTTTGCTACCCAAAGGTATTGAACTGAATGAAGAACATTAATATCTATATACATACACATTGTTGGATTAATGTCTAAGTCCATAACTATAATTGGTAAGACTTGACCCGACCCGGCATGGTCCATTTGGGTTGCATGGCATCATGCATTTGGATAGACTATAATGAGAGAAATAACACTTAAGGTTGGTTAATATATTATAAGTTCTAATATATTAATAAGGTTATTTAATTAGTATTGATCAAGAATTAATTTGGAATTAATTAAGTGATCAAAAGGAGACTAATTAAATATATGGGTTGATTGTGTAAATCATTCATTCTTATATATGTGGGCTTGTGATCCAAGATTCCTTATGTTGGACTAAGTCCATGGGGTGACCCATGGATACTCCATGGAGGTTAAAATCCATGGAGCATAAGTAATGGGTAAAGTTATGAGTTACATGGTGTAACCCTAATAGCCACCATATAAAAGAATCCCATGGCTCAAGAAAATCGTGCACTAATGTGTGAGTGTGAGGGCTAGACGATTTCAAGGAGTGTTCAAGTTTCTCTCAAGTTATTCCAAGTGTATTTGGTGTTGTGTGAACCATTTGAGGTGTCACACTTGGGGCACTAGGCACTCAAGCTTCATGAAGACATTCTACATCAAAGAGGTATGTATTCTATCTTGTTATATTTATTATTTTGTATGCTAGATTAGGATAATACCTTGGATGTTCATAATTGTATGTATAATAGAGAAAACATAGATCCAAGGTATTTAGGGTTGCATGTACACTTAGGAGTGTTAGAATGCTCATAACCCAACACACATAATATATAACTAAGATTCAAACGACCTTCGGACAAACAACCGATACCCTAAGTCCACAACCAAACAAGGAACAGGAAGTAAGGCGAGTTATCAGTCCTAAGTCCTTTCAATCCTACTTATATAACTATATCTATATAGACATACTTTTGACAAAATATAAGCTTAAAAGAGTTTGATAAAGAGTTTTGCATATAAAAGAGTTTGTAAAACGATTTGAAGCGGTTTGTTTGAAAACACAGTTTGAAGTATAAGAAATCCATTTGTTTGATAGTTATTAATCACATGTGATTGATATAATAACTATAATGTTTCTACTTGTATTCCCCCCATAAAAGCATTTAAAATAATTTAAAAGGTAAATTAAGGGGTATGAACTCACCTGAAGTGAGTTATGCGAATGAAAGATCGGTTTGTAGGATGCTAAGTGTCAAGTGAAGACTTGAGCACAACGGATCCTAATAAGCATATAATGACACATATATGTATATAATTAGTGTTTATACAACTAATCATGTAAGGAAAACACCCGAGGACTTAGGAAACACGTAGATTGAAGTGTTAGAAGTACAAAGGGTTGCATATAATGGGTGTACGACCACACAAGTGTGTGTACGGCCACCAGGTGTACGACCACTTGGGTGTACTGCCTAGTGTGTACGGACATGGAGTGTATGGCCGTACACTCCTTGAAGAAATGGTCAAGAAGTGTAGTCCAAGGCTCTAACTTGCATCCCCTAAGTGTTCTTGATCTTGTGCTAGCATAGAACATGAGTTTGAGGCCAAAATGCACTAAACAAGGGGGTGTACGGCCACATGAGGTGTGTACGGCCGTATACTCCTTGATGATCATGCTTTGGACGATTTCTAAGGTGTATATCTAGTAAAGTAACAAGCATAGGAAGAGGTACTTACGATTTAGAAGCTTTTAGGGGTGTTAAGGTCCAAAAACTTAGTAGGTGTTCTTGGTGTAAATGAAGAACACTTGAAGATCTAGCCAAAAGAAGTAATTTCATGGATGAAATCAATGATCTTTACTAGATAGTGAAATGAATCAACAAATCAAGGGAAGAAACACTTACAACTTGAAGATCTAGGTGAAAAATCCGATGATAGTTGAGAGAGAATTGATTTCTTGGCTTAGGAGTGTGAAAAGAGTTAAATGAAGGCTAAGTCTCTCATTTATACATGAGAGTGTACGGCCAGAAGGGGGTGTACGGCCGCACACCCATGTGTACGGCCGTACACTCCTTATGTTGGAGTGTTTGGCCCTTTTGAACAATGATGTACTTAGGGAACACATTTCTAAACCCTAACTTTGAAGGTACTAGGCTTAAAACACTCATACAGACCCTGAACAATGCTAAAATGATAGCAGAAACGAGTCTGACTTTGATTGAATTAAATGACTGTACAAGATAGAAATTTCGGGTTGTCATAGTATATCCGTAGAGAAGTTAGCGGACATCTATGTCCGGGAGGTAGTAGTTCGGCACGGGGTGCTGGTATCGGTGGTTTCAGACTGGGATGTTCGGTTCACCTCCCAATTTTGGTGGAAGTTCCATGAGGAGTTGGGTACTCAATTGCACTTTAAAACAACATACTAACCTCAGACCGATGGCCAGAGCAAGCGGACGATTCAGACGCTCAAAGATATGCTCCGAGCTTGTGTGTTGGATTTTGGAGGGAGTTGGGATACTTACCTTCTATTAGCTGAGTTCTCATACAACAATGGTTATCATTCCAATATTAACAGATCAGCATTTGAGATGTTGTATGGAACGAAGTGTAGGACTTCGTTTGCTGAGGGGAGGTCGGGCATCGAGTCATGGGTAGTACAGAGGTTGTACTCGAGACTACGGAGTTGATACAGCAAGTGCGCGATAGGTTGCGGGTCGCGCAGAGCTGGAAGAAGAGTTATGCAGATCGGCGACGTTCGGATCTCGAGTTTCAGGTGGGATACTTGGTGCTTCTTAAGGTATCGCCTTTGGACAGGTGTCATCCGATTCAGGAAACAGGACAAGCTGGGCCCCAGATTCATTGGGCCTTTCAGGATTTCGGCCCGGGTGGGCAAGGTTGCATAACGGTTGAATTTGCCCGATGAGCTCAGCCACATTCATAACACTTTCCATGTGTCTTAGCTTCGGAAGTGTGTGGCCGATGAGTCCGCAAATCATTCCCCTGGATGACATACAGGTTGATGATCGCCTGAATTATGTGAAGAGACCGGTGGCGATTTTAGATCGAAAGACAAAGGCTCTACGCAACAAGGAAGTGTCACTGGTCAAGGTCCAGTGGCAGCATCGAAAGGGTTCCGAATGGACGTGAGAGCCGGAGGCGGAGATGCGAGAGCACTACCCATCTTTATTCGCGACATCAGACTTCAAGGGCGAAGTCTAGTTCAAGTGGGGGAGAGTTGTAACACCTAGATTTCAGCTTGTTGAGCCATTTTTGGTGCCATTTAGAGTTTTTGGAGTAGAAGGAAGAGCATTGAAGTGGTGGTGTTTCACTTAAGGCATTAGATCCAACATTTAGTCCCCCTTGTGCACCTTGTGGAGGTAACCAGTAGTGAGGATTTTAGAGCAGCGTGTCAGTTCAGCCTTTCGTCTGTCAGTGAGGTGAGTCTTCCTACACCTTAAGTGGGCCGAATGCACTAAGGCCGACTTACTATATCATATGAGTAGAACTGTATGATATCGTATGATTCTGTTTGTGTGCTTGCATGATTTATGTCTTGAGCTATATGGGCTCGGAGTCATTACGGACTTGGGGTTGATACGGACCCGACACAGCTATATGCTGTTATTTTGGGTTGATACGGACATGACACAACCACGTGTTGTTATATGATATGTATATTGTATGTGGTAGTTTGGGAAGTCCATTAAAGCTTTATACTTACAGTTTATATTTATGGTTTCAGATACTTCCTGTTCAAAACGGAAGGCCCGGCGTGATGACACAGCATCCTCCCCGCATGATTTCCGCACTTGATGTATTTGTACTATGATATTTTTGAATATTGTAATGAATGATGGCTTTTGATACAATCAATGAATGAAAACTAGTCGTTTTTAAATAAAAAAAATTTACTACTGATTTTGGATCGTTACACACTAATTTTGATAGGATGGTGAAAAAAAAAAATCCTTTTGCGAAGGAGAATTTTTTTTACTAGTTTGTAATACGCGAACAAATGAGTCACAACAAAATTACATTGAATTTGGCTAGAGTTCAAATCAAATTACAACTTGATCACGATTCGATTTGAATTTTTTTATAAAATTCAACACATTTGAGTTAGAAAAACTTTATAAAACTCGATGTATTTATGGTTTTCATGAAAAGCGATAATAAACCATGAACATGAATGCAATTCACGTTAGTGTAAACAGACATTAAAGATCCTAACGGTGCAAGTACCACGAAATTACCCATAAAAATAATAACACAATCATAAAGTCGTGGAACATTAAAGTCATATATATTCCATTAAAGAATTATAAAAAATAATATTAAAAATCAAAAAATAAAATAAACAATTACAGATTAGTTCAAAGTTTCCGATCACCACCGACACCAACACCATCACCGACACGGTCAACAGCTGCCCGTATTCTCCAGATCTGCCCGAACCCATTTCCTCTCTACTTTAATTTATAGTCTTTAAATAAAACCATAATTTACTAATTTACCCAAATATAAAGATTGTGCTTTAATAACTTGTACATTTCCAACATTTTTGGGTTCACTCAACCGTGCATGAGTTCTTGAGAGAAATTGGGACATTGACCTTCGTGGGTTTGTAAACAACAGCACAAGAAATCTTTCTATGGAACTTCGGTTTCACCAATTTTCCGAGCACATAAGCCTTGGCTTTCACCGTGAAGTTCAGGTTCAACGGCACCGGCGCCGTCAGTTTGCCGTCCATGCTACTCCAGTTCACACCGCCGCCGTACAGTGGCACACCTCGGCCCTGTAAATTCACACTCACCAGTCTTTGTCCCTTTCTTGATTGATAAAACTTCTTGATCTGCAAAATACCCATTTGAGTTGAGATCAAATTAGTGATACCCATGTGAAATTTGACTCAAATTAACAATACCGGTTTGAGTTTAGATCGAATTAGTGATGATCATGTGAAATTGAACTCGAATTAATGGTACCCATGTGAAATCGAGAACGAGTATTGAAGATTTGGGTGGATTATTTTGAGACTTACAGATCCTGAAGCTAGAGTTAGCTCTGTGTATGCGAGATCGACTGGTGTTGATGATACATGAACTCCAAAGAATGTTCCCCGATTGTGGAAATTGAATTTGATTGTAGTATTTATTGTCACCATTTCTGTAGCAACTCCAGATGCATCAGCTCCAGCATTGACCACAAATTGATCAAACGAAATGCTCTACAAAATGATCAAAATTTCAGATCCCCAATTCGATTTCGCAAAAATCAATCATACCAATTTGAGATTTAAGCAATGAATTAATGGAAGAAAGAAGAATGTGATATTTACCCTCATTGTGATACTGGGTTTCTGAGGTTTGGCAGCAGCCCATAGAACGAGTGAAAAGAACGAGAATAGAACAAAAAACCCAACAACAAACGCCAGAAAATAACACCGGCGAGGGATTCCACTCCGGTGATCATCATCAGCAAGTCCTTCTTCTTCAATTGCATCAAATCCCTTTTCGCCTTTCCGAGGCTGTAGTTGATGGCTGACTTTCCTCGATCCAGGTCGGAGCGAGCCGGAAAACCGGGTGGAGGATGAGTTCCGGGAGTGGCGGCCCGGCGACCCGTTAGGACTTAAAACGGGTGTTGAGTGGAATGAGTTGGTGGTCTTCTCCCCGTCGTGTGAGTCACGCGACGGACTCTGAACGAAATACACCGGCCGCCGTGGTGATCTCGTCGGAGACGAAGCTGTCTGGCTGGTGACCTCCGAATCTGTTTTTGCATGCATTGACATTTTTAACTACTTCGATCTGAGATCCAAGAACAAAAGCGGCTATAGATTTATCTTCCTTACTGAGGGTTTGATGCTCTCTCTTTCTAGATTTGGACAAGAAGAATCATATGATAATGGAGGTGGGTTTTAGTGCCGAACTCTTGTGGGTGAAGCTGGAATTTTAAGGATTTATTAATATGGACAAAAACCAGACGTAAAACTACAACTAATATTAAAGAAAAAACACTATCTTTCAATAATTGGCCTAAGAATTTTTTACAGATAGCTATAAATATTATTTGTATTGAATTTTGGCAATAGTAATAGTTATGGATTATGAGTTTTTTATTATTTATTATTATTATTATTATTTTTTAATGAAAGCTAACAATTTCTATTGAAGAGCAATTGTTTTTCTCCGAGTTTTTTTTTCTTACCTCAATGTTGAACATACAATAAAAGAGTATTCACAATTCACAATAAAAGATATTTTTAATAAAGCTTTTTATGAAAACACTATAAAAATCTAAATATTCTAATAAATGAATTCTATTTATTTATATTGAAAAATCATTATTACACGTCATAAGAGGCTCGTGATGAGCACTATAGATGGCATAATCATGAAAAAGTGGTGCTTCGTAAACAACATTTCCTTGTATGCTAGGTAGACGCCACATGGGCTCTATGTCAACTTTGCTACTATGGTGTCGTGTACCAAATAAGGAGAGAGAGAGAGCAACTAGATATTACCGTGTGCGGCCAAACCGCACGCCAAATCGCACACTGAGGGTGATGTTCCTTTTTGACACTATATCAAAACCACGATAGAACGGCAGCCACTTCCTTCGGTCTAAATCTTATAATGAATTCAGTGAACATGCAAATCCATTTTCTTTTCAATATTATATCCAATCATATTTTAATGTGTACAACATAAATAGATATTTTGATTATTGATTTGGGTTGTCAATATTAACACTGATCAAATGCAATTTTAAAAGTATTATGCAGTGTTTTATCACTTTTGTTAACTTTTTTCATTTTATTTTACTCACCTTTTTAAATTTAGTTTTTTTTCTTAAATACGGTTTTAATGATTTAATGTGAGTGTCCAAAACAAATGTCTACAAAAATTTATCATAAAATCTTTAATTAACTTTTAATTTTTTTTTTTGAACGGCAAAATTTTTATTAAACCAATAGCAAGAAGCTAGAGGAACAGAGAAACAAAAAACAGAACGAGATAAAGACAAGATTACATGTGCGACAAAAGAAAAATACATCATGATTCCTAGTTCAAGAGAAAATCATTCCCTCTATTTTTAATCCATAAGAAAGTCAATGTTTTTATGTCTTCAAAGACCTTTGATGGAGATGAGTGTAGTTTATTAAAGATCATATCATTCCTTGCTCTCCATATTCCCCATAAGGCAGTTAAAAAGATAGCATGCAAGACCTTTTGGTGCAATGCCGTTTGAAAGTAATTGTGTTTTCTTGAGAGAAGATCTTCAATTGATGTGGCATGAGTTACATACACATCACACCATGTTTTTATTAATAGCCAAATCTCCTTTACCCATCGATAATCAAGTAGAATGTGAATGGAAGATTCCACCTCCAACCCACAAGATTCACACAACATCGAGTCCATTTTAACACCTCGCTTTTCCAGATCCATTTTGGAGGGTAAACGGTTCAACACAGATCTCCATCCAAAGAAGTTAATCTTAATTGGGACCAATTTATTCCAAAAATGTTTATATGCTAACGGAGTGCATACATTAGATTCCCACAAACCTCTGAGAGAGCTCACAGAGAACTTTTCGTCCAAGTTGTCAAGCCATTTCCAAGTGTCATTGTAGTTATGGAAGACAGCCACAGTAATCTCTAGTGTACATCTGTTTAGCTCATCCAGTTCAATCAAAGATCAGGGCAGCCGACTCTAACTCCATAAGCAAAGAGGTACGCCATCTGATTTGGTGCATCTATCCATAACTGTGCATTGTTTTATGGATTCTAATTTAAACAAGGATGGTTATTTCTCTTTCAAAGTATAGTTACCCAACCATTTTTCATACCAAAATGATGTCTGGTTCTACACCCAAATTCTTTTTTAAAAAGGGCTTGCAAATCAATGTTATGAACCTGGAAATCAGTTGTAATACTTACAATATTCTTCTAAACCCCAGAAATCGCCAATCTGACAGGAAACATCTTCCAGGATCTCACCATTCCATGTATTGAGACAATCATCTTTGACCAAAGGGCAGATGGTTCTGTTTTCAATCGCCACAACCATTTAGCAAGCAATGAGAGGTTGACAGCTCTCAAACTTAGTACTCCCAGGCCTCATTCATTTTTTGGAGTTAATACTTTGTCCCATGCTATCCAGCAGATCTTAAAACCCAAGTTGCTTCTGCCCCATAAGAACTTCCTCCTAATTCTTTCTAAGTCCTCAATCACCTTTAAAGGCGCTTTGAACATTGAGAAATAGAATATCGGTAAACTCCCAAGCACCGAATTAAGAAGTGTAATCCTTCCTCCAAATGATAATGTGTTAGCTTTCCATGACGACAATTTCCGTTGGAGTTTTTTAGTGATGGAAGCCCAATTTTTAATGAGTGACATGTTGGTACCCACCGGTAAGCCTAAATAGGTAAATGGGAATGAAGATGCTTGGAAGTGGAGAAATTGAGCAAAAGATCCAATTTCATTCTGATTAACACCAACACCAAAAACTTTACTTTTTGAGAAATTAACCTTAAGCCCAGATGAGAGATGAAAACATCGAAGGATTCTAGCAAGGTTAAGAAGATTGATTCTTGACCATTCCTCGATAAATAGGGTATCGTCAGCGTAAACCAGGTGCGATATCCTAGGCCCTCCATTTGGGAATGAAATACCCCGAAAAATACCAAGTTCACCAGCTTTGTGCATGACAGCATTCAACGACTCCATTGCGAGAATGAATAAAAACGGGGCCAATGGATCACCTTGTCTCACACCCTTGCTAACTGAGAATTCATTTGTCGGTGAACCATTGACTAGAACTGATGTTTTGGATGAGGAGAGACATCCAGAAATCCATAGTCTCCAACGCGAAGGAAATCCCAGTTGAGGCATGATTGAATCAAGAAAGCTCCAACTCAGAGAGTCAAAGGATTTGTTAAAATCAACTTTGTACAGTAGAGCCTCCTTGTTGTTTCGATTAAGCCAAGAAAGTGCTTCATTTATCATTAATGGCCCATCCAGTATGTTGCGACCTGCAATGAATGCGGTTTGTTCTTCACCCACAATAGAACCGATGTCCAATTTTAGGCGATTTGCGAGAACTTTTGCAATTACTTTATATATACAGCCAATTAAATTAATTGACCTATAATCCGAGAGTGAAAGAGGGTCGTTTACTTTCGCGACCAATGAAATAAATGATGAATTGCATCCGGTGTTTAGGATACCGGTGGAATGAAAATTATGAAAAATATCCATGAAATCATTCTAAAAAAATCCCAATAAGATTTGAGAAATTTAAATGATAAGCCATCCGGTCCCGGGGCCCGCTCATTCCCACAACTCCAAACCGCAGCCTTCACTTCCATTAAGTTGAACGGTTCAATAAGAAGAGAAGCATCTGAATCCGATAGTGTATTGGGAAAATCGCACTCTAAAATAGGTCTAGCATCCATCTTTTCAAAAAAAAATTCTTTGAAAAATAAGACGTCATTTTTAATTGAGGTGGGATCGGTAGATCATACACCATTAATTGAGAGACCATTGATCCGATTATTCAAAATGTTGCTGTTTATGACCCCATGACAGAACCGTGAGTTTTCTTCACCCTCGACAGCCCAATGTATTCTAGCCTTCTGTTTAAGATCAAGATTTTTTTTGTGTTCAAGATCCAATAATTTTTGTTTCCATTCCATACGGTTCTCCAATTCCACACTTGATAGATCTCTCGATTCAGCAATAATTTCTAATGGATCAATCCACTTCTTTAATGACTTCAACTCACCATTTTCTTTTTCCATCTTCTTAATTTTCCAATGTTTAATTGCATTCTTTATCTTCCGAAGTTTACAAGAAAGAAGCTTGTCCGGAGGACCATTGAATTGGAAAGAGGCAGCCGCCTCTCGTACCACATCATCAAAGTTTGGATCCATAAGCCAAATATTAAAAAATCGGAAGGGAGAAGGACCGAAGTCACATATCGATGTGAGAAGAACAAGTGTCAGTGATCAGACAATTCATGTGGAAGAGCAATGAGAGATGCATTGGGCCATTTACCCATAAAGTTTGGACCCACCAAATATCTATCAATTTTACTCAGCTTCTCACTGCCATCAGTCATGTAAGTATACTTCCAGCCACCCATTGAGTATTCAAGAAGATTTTCTTTAGAAATGAACTCATTAAATTTTCTAGCCCCAAATTCGCAGAATTGTGAGTTCATTTTGTCTTCCGGAACTCTCACATCATTAAAAACGCCCATAAGTATCCATATTCCGTCTAACGTGTTAATCAAGCTTAGAAGATTAATCCACAAACTATTTTTTAAAGCCTGACATTGAGGTGCATAGACATTAGCAACTATAACATCTACCTCCACCCCTTGTAAAGAGCCCAATTTATTAGGAAGTGTTGATTTTTGAAAACCTGCTTTTTCTTAAAAATACTTGGGTTCCATATATAGAAAAGACCTCCTGATCGACCATTTGCATCCACATGCTCAAAATCAAAAATTGATCTATCCCAAAAAAATTTAAATAAAGTTCTTGAAGAGTCAATGAATTAAGATTCTTGAAAAGCAATAAAATGAATTTTATTACCCCTTTTTAGACGTTGAATCCATTCCATTTTGGTGGAACTACTAGCACCCCTATTATTGATGGCCATAAAATTCATGGTAAAAATTTGTCCGCCCCTGTACATTTCACCAGATCATTGATCTGTTTATCAAAATTCCTCATTTGAAATCCCAAGCAATTCCCAACTTCGATAGTATCTGATATTTCCTGATTAATTCTATCCAGACGGCGAGAGGATGACTCTGATTGTGAGTTGCAGGTCGATTGTTGAGAGGAGCGAGGGATCCAGAGCCTATCTTTAATTTTAAGAGAGTGGGGAGGGTGCCAAGTGTGCGATTTAGAGAAACCCCATTCATCATCATCATTATTCAAATCAGGCTGAATTCACCTTCTTCATCCTCGTTCTCAACGATCAA